CAGAGGGAGATTCCTCTTGTGCCAAATGCTATCGATCTTCTTACATCCTTTCAGTTTTAGCTCTTTAGCCCACATGCTCGGACTCTGAAGCTCAGCTCATTCGAGTTAGACCTACTGTTCACATCTAGAAGTGAGCTCAAGACTATTCCTCACCTGTTAAACAACAACTACCTGCCAGGCCAGCACAATTTTTTTACATCCATCTTAAATAGAATCGTTTCTGGTGTGAGATCAACAACTAAAAGAGCCAATAAAAACTAAGGAAGAAAGTTGGGGGATTCATGTGGGTGGGTTGGTTGGTTGCATGCATGTGTGCAGCAGATGCTTCAGTCATGCAGTAAGTTCTGATGATTACAGATAAGACAGATGTCCCCTGGTATGTCCACATAAATCAACAAACCCGTGGATTAGGCCTTGACGCTTTGAATCGCGGACATGTGACCGTGATAAAATTTGGGCTATATGGACGATAATCACATACTTCAAGAATTTCAAGGAAAAACAATGTCAGCATGACCCAAGTCCTAAATCTGTGCTCACAGCATTTTTATGTGTCTAATAAAATCCCCGGGGAGGAGAAGCCTGGGAGTTGGATGCTCCTTTTGGGTACATCCTGGTCGCAGTTTAACAGAGCAACACTGCCACCTACCTGGTTTTTTGGGCATCACCATTCTGGTGTTGGCGTCTGCCTGCCAGCCTTGGCTCACCACACCTTTGAAGTGAGGGGAAAAAAAAAAAAAAAATTCTTAATAACTTTGTATAAAGTAATGTGATAAAATTGAGAGCAAGATTACTGACTGATTAAAAAAAAGCAGATATAACATTACCCTTCACCGCCTCTTCCACAGAGTAGCCCACAAAGGCAGCAAAATCCTCCGCTGCGATGGAAGTGTACGCCTGGGCCACAAGGCTGTACGCCCGCTGCCGTGTGCTCTCTGTGAAGACATATGAGATAGGTGCATATGGAGTGCATATGAGCTAAATCTAGGCTCTGGTTCTATTTAAAGTGCACAGCAAACAGGGCAACTTGCTGGGAGCTTCCAGGCACGAGGAGAGTATGATGTTACAGCATTTTAACATGATATTTAAGCAACATGTCTCGTGTAAACAGCACTTCTAATGAGCAACAGCACAGGAGGTCACATGCTGAGACGAACAATTCTTCAGGAGTGATTTATTATATTCTAAGGAACAAAGCTCTGAGAACCAGAAACACATCAGATTATAATGAACCACTGAACAGACTGTTCATCTCATAACGTACAAAGCACAAATAATCTATATTCACAGGCTGTTTTAAATTACATATGAAACATGTACTTAAAAAGTATTCTGAATAGATCTTTCCCTCTGAGCACAACTTTATTATATTTAAAAAGCCATGTACAGTTTTACCTTCATGCTATGAAACCTGCCAGAATTACAGACTGTCAAAATACATTAAGGAAAATTATTCTGACCCAAAAGGAACTGTGGCTGGACGATGAGGCTAGTATGAAAATGTGTGTGTGGTGGTGGTGGTGGGGGTGGGGGGGGGGGGGCTTGTATAATTTGTTTTCACAAGCTAGCAATCATTCATGAATCACACTTTAGAGTTTTTTCCCCCCTTTGAATGATCAGAAGCCTGCAGACCAGGACCACCCGACACAGGAACAGTTTCTTTCCCCTCACCATCTCCCTTCTTAACAGTTGACCTGTCACACTGCTCCCACTGCCAGACTGCAGCTGCACCTTGTGTACATTTTGTAGTATTCATTCCACCTCATTCATTTCTGTATTTTATGTATAGAAGTTTAGATCCGTTATTTATAGTTGGTTTACACAGCTTTGTGCATGTATGTGTAATGTGTATATATAGACACGTGTGTGTGTGTGTGTGTGTGTGTGTGTGTGTGTGTGTGTGTGTGTGTGTGTGTGTGTGTGTGTGTTTGTTTTACATCACTGTGCTTGAGAGCCACCATCTACCGGAACCAAATTCCCTGTATGTGTCTGCACATATACTTGGCCAATAAACACGATTCTGATTCTGATCAGAAACATATTAAACATTTATGGTACCAAAGCTTTTTTCTTCTCGTGGACATTAAACTGGTGCAGTTTATTTCAACTATGATATATCCTATTAAAATGTTGCTCAAAACTGGTTACAGGGCTGGACAGAAACATTTTCTCCTTAGACCATGACCCTTAGTGTGGGTGTAAAATTGATTTGGCTCCAGTTTTTAAACAGAACTTAATGTGTTTTTTATTTTTCCCTCAACTCTGGAGAGGTCATGTGGTACTCATGCAGTTAAAATCCTGGACCAGTAAGCGGATTTTAAAAAAAAAAAGCTCCAAATTTCAACCCACACCTTTGCACTCTGAGGGTCTGTAACTCTGGAAATATTTTGCATGGGTTGAATGAAAAAAGTAAAGCTGATGTACACAAAATCTGATGATTTTTGCAGGTCACTTGGGATCACTCACTGATTTCTCCATGGATTGAGGGGGAACATTGTTTTTGTCTTCTATTATTTTTACATGATTTATCACTGCCTTTGGTCCTTAATAGTGAAATCTGGTTATCAAACTATTTCCATTTTGAATATGCAATGCAATAAATTCAAGCCCAATCATAATTGCATTTTCAGGCAATAATTTGTGTTCTTCCACTGACTTTAACACTTTAAGGTAATTGATTAGTTTTATTGATATTCAGAGGCTTTGTTCTGCTATGGTCAGCTGCACTCATGTAGCGTGCATCACTGATCTCATCCCTGGGGCATCACTTAATACTGAAATGTCAATGCTGGAGAGGATTTTCCATCTTTTGTACTGTCTCACTTATGCCATAACCCAGATCTGTCACTCCCAACATGCATTCACGCATTACTGATGATGCATACATCATCAGTAATGCGTTTTCCCAACTTCATGTTTTAAGTATGAGACGTATCATCCTAATAAAACTGAACAGCTGCATCATGGCTTTAGTCTTAGTTTCAACATTGTTACATCCTGAGTAAATGTCAAGTAAGGGTATTTGTTTCTCTGTCCATCTGCAAGATTACACAACGCCCCCTGGACCAAATTTCAGAGAATGTGGTGGGAAAGGAACTTAACAAATTCTGATGCTGATTTCTTTAAAACTAGACAGTGCACTGGCCTTGGAAGAAGCTCTTTGTTTCTCACTCTGCTGACTTTGCAGATTTTTAACCTTTCTTGTGGTAATTGTATGTGTTTGGCAAGTCACTTCATCCCAGCCCAAACAAACACACAATGACACGCAGCTCTAACAGGAACTGCTCTGGGAAAATCAAACAAAGCTAGTCTTAACAAAAAAATTGTCTTTAATTCATCATACCATCTGGGTTTGCTTTAAGTGAAATCTTGCATTTGTTGTTCAGGAAACTTTGACTTGAGCTAAAATGAATTCCACAATCAAGTACACTTAATTAAAGATCTGTTAAATGAAGCATGCTTAAGCCGAATCACAAATAAGCTCACACCACAGACCCGTTGAAGACTTTATCAGCAGGCTCTGGCTTCAGCTTCCAAACTGCCCTGTTTATCTAGCCTGACTTGACGTGCTGTGGAGATTACTGTAGGAGTGACAGGGCCTCAAAAACAACATACGCTGGCAGGTATTCGCTGCTGCTACAGCAGCTATCACGCAAGTGCCTTGGGGTTATGGCCTTTGGTGTTTTATAGCCTAGCAACGGGTTGTGTGTATACCAACAATCATCCTCCTGTCTGCTGCAGCCGTTAGCAGCAGTAACAATAACAAGTGGGATGAGAAAAGACAGCTGTGTAGGGGAAGGCCGGAGATTGTCAAGAGCGCGTTCCCATTGTGATGTCCAACGAGCTTCCTGTCCTAAATGTTACTGCTCTTATCGAAAAGAGGCAAAAAGAAGCTGAACACATGTCTTGGAAAATATGTCAACACCGTTTACGCAACAGCTGCGCTTGAGTTTTAACCAAAGTCATGACTGTAGGTGGCGTTTCAGCATGGGGGGGGGGGATGATCTGTGGGTCCAGCTCTAGGGAAGTTTGACCATTATATACACCAATTTGTTTCTTCCATTAATTTATTAAAAAAATAAAAAAAATCTTTATTTATGTAAAGGAAGAGTGCTTGAAGAATGGTGTGATTCTACTGATTGAGATCAGTGTGTGTTTGGGTTTGTGTGTGGTGGGGACCATTAAATATATCCAAAAGATTCAGGGGACCTGAACAAATAATTCATAATCATATTCTGGCGAGGTGTTCTGTCTCACTAAAATGTTACAGAAGCTTATTCTAAATAATTCTTTTCCTGAACCTTAAAAAACAAACTGTAACTGTGACTCGAATAAAGACAAAGTTTTTGTAGACAAACTAAACTGCACTGAAAACAAAAGCTTAGCCAAAAACAAACTAAAAAAAATATGTTGGACTATAAAAACTGACTGGGTGTCCTCTGTGTCGTCCCTGAAATGGAGGCCTGAGATCAAATAGCCACAATCCTTATTTATTTAAATACTGTTCTGATTCAAACAACCTCTTAAATCAAGAAATCCAAATGAAACCCATTTTGTTGTGCATCACTATGCTAAAAACTCCTATTAAAAAGAGACACAGCTTATAAAACTGCTTCTTGTGTTGGAACAACTTTCTGGCAGCTGACCATCTGTAAATTCAAATGCTCCTGACCCAACAAGGCCGATCATCTCAAGGGGTTTTTTTCTGTAACCCAGCCTCAGGGAAGATGTATATTTTTACCATGGCCTCTTGGCCGCTAGAGAATGACTTGTGTGGCAACTGGACAGGCCTTTCTTAGCATGCCCCTCTGACACTTCAGAGTTGGGTTGGAGGTGCTGAGTAAGACATCAGTGAGTGGGAGGATGGGAGTTTTATGCAGGAGAAACGGGACCTGGCTTGTCCTTCCCTGTCAGTCTATTCCAGGGTGAGCTATCACCTCTCACCATCTCACCTCTTAAAAATAGCCCCCACTTTTCACCAGCAAAGGCAAAGCAGACAGGACATGGCAAGGGGCTTTATTTTTAAATACAGTCCACTGCCAAGTAAGAGCAGCAACAGACTGGGAACCATTTGGATGGAAGCACTCCAAAAGTCTGTAGCACCAAAATAATCCTAAGTCATGTAGGGTTTTTTTTTTCCTTTTAAGCCCCATTTATTTAATATAAATAAATCAATATTTTAAGTTGGGCTTACATTGAGCTAAAAATAAAGAACATTGCTGCTTCAATTCATGCAGGTTTATTACCAGTAACAACAGACTTGGTGATTACATCGAGGTCAGTTGATCACCAATTCCACAAAAAAAGTGAGAAAGGAAATCTAAAATAACAACTATTCCTAAATACTACCTGTTTCTACATTTAACAGACTTAGAGGTACAAAAGTATAAAAAGAACTTAAGAAAAAAAAGAATGAATATGACACTGAAATTAGATATTGCACTGACAGGGCAAACAGTTTCAGCCCACATCCTCTTTCACCTCCTTAATATTTCAGTCCTCAAGACAAACACTGCCCTATTTCAAAACACCTTCAAGAGTACTTAAGTTCAAAACAACTTCCAATTCTCATCATTCCTCCTCTTCTTCCTCCTCTTCCTCTGCATCCTCAAATTCATCATCATCTCCAACCACTCCAAAGTCCATTTTTCCAAGGACTCTTTCAACACGCTCCGTTGATATAGTGAAGTGGTCCATCTTCTCAAAGCCTGGCTCGGGCCTTTCTTCCCCCAGTGAGGCTTTGGCTGCATCTTTGGTCTGTGTGATAAGGCCCTTCGAAGCCAACAGGAACTCAGCAGCTCCGCTCTGCTCCAATGCCCTCACAGCCGAATCAGTCAGCTCTGAGCTGGCCTGCAGTCGCTCACCGTAACGCTGAGCCAGTGCCCGCAGAGCTGCCACCTTTTCATCTTGCTCTTTCCCAATCTGCTCAAGTAAAATGCCCTTACGCTCTTCTAGGATAGCATATAGCAGATCAAACCGCTCAGCGAGGCCCTGCTTGGCACGCTGAGCGTTTTCCTGTACAGCACGGCAGGCGTCTTCCATCTGATTAAGCAGAGACTGCAGGCGACCATTGCTGGTCACCAGCGTATCGATAGCATTACTCAGTTCACCCTTCTGGGTCTCATAAACAGTTGTTAGAGGGGCCACCTCACAGTCCTTATGCTGGCCAAACACTTTGCACATGGAGCAGGTGGGTGTTTGGCAGGTCACACAGTAGATGTTGATTTTCTCATCCTCATGTTCCTGGCACTTTGGCTCTTTGGACTCTTTAGGCTTCAGGTTGGTTTCTGTCTTTCCACTGCCACTTAGTTCTTGCTGCTGCTTGTAGATGTCAATGATATTTTCCACTAACAGGTTTCGCTGAAGCCCGTGCACACCATGGCGGTCGAGCACAACCTCAAACCGGCAGGTAGGGCAGCGAAAGACGCCACCAGAAAAGCGGTACGGGTTGCGCGAGTCATAGAGGTCACTGGCACAGCTACGGCACAGGTTGTGCTGGCAAGGCAGGATGACCACAGGCTTCGTGAACATGTCCAGGCAGATGGGGCAGCTCAGCTGCTTCTCAAGGCTATCCATGGGGCTGGGGGGCCGAACTACAGATCCTGTCCTCTGGATGTCCATTTCGTAAGTTTTATGCGTACACCTAGACTAGGAAGTCTTATGTTCTCACAAGGAGAAAGCTAAAAGCTGAGTCGCTAAAAGAGAGTACAGCGTCTAAGAACTTCTCCTGTTGGTGTGCCGTACTTGAAATGCTGATATCTATTCTGGTTGAGAGCTAGCGGCTCTGTCCTTTATACTGCACACTCACAGCTGGTGACACCCGATCCTTTCCACCAGGCATTCCTACCCGCTTGCTAGCCTAGGATCTTTTCACCGAAACTCCCCCTCCTACCCATTGCAGCATGTGTCACATGCCCCAGTGGGCGCAGAGTCCCCTCTAACAGTGACCCAAGTGGCCAACTGAGTACAGACAAACAGGGTCCATGTGACCGGCTCAGAGGAGCTCGACCTGAGAAAGAGGGCTCAGTATTATTGGTAAACAAGTCTGTGTCAAGATCCTGTGACTTGGCTGTTTTTCCATTTGATTTCTTTTCATTTATCTGCTCAATGTGCCAATTTATGTAACCGGTTCTGTTTAGTAAATGGAGTGACTGTACAGAAAAGCAATTTTCATACGTTTTAAATTAAACTAACCGGTAAAAGCAAATGGCTGAGGATCAATTATGTTTATTAAACTACCACGGACACAACATTTAAGCCTCTTTTTTCTAAATGATAATTTACCTGCTAGTCTCTTTCTTTTGCAATGCTTATTCTTCAGCACTGGAACCTGATGAGTTTAATAATAAAATCCACAATTTAGTGAGACTGTTAAATTAAATTTAAGGTAAGATGATAATATATTTTATTACTTTTTAGGTTCTCAATATATTTAATGTCTTCGTTTTGTGGCTTTGATTTAAACAGATTTATTAAAAATATTCAGATTAATTTATACGTTTGGAAATGTATTCTTTTAACACATTGATGGAAAAAATATATATTATGCAATATTCTAATTAGTGTGAGCTGTATGATGGTCATGAATACACTCAGTACATTAAGTGCCTGGAAGTACAGTCAGATTGCAAAAAAATGTAATCTTGAATAAATGCTGCAGTTCTTGACTGTTGCACATTTTTTGTTAATGTTTATTCACACATCTACTAAGCAGTTATGACCAGTGGTTGCTTAACTGTGCTATGACATACTGTTCTGAGCATTAATATCTGATCAACACACAGTGTCATAAACATAAGTGAGAAGCTATTCTTAAACTGTTGCACAATGTAATTGACACATGATACAAATGCAGCTAGAACTGTGACCATCAGATGATATAACTTTATGACCTGATGTTTCCTTTGAAGTTGAGAAGGTGATCTGAAAAACAGAAAAATATGTAGGTACGCAACCACCTTCTTAATATGCAAGTATCTTGTTGTGGTTATTTGATGTACCCTTCATGACCATGAGGGTTTCTGTTTATTTTCCCATTGCTTTGTTGCCTCATAGCCCTGACTGGGTTCAGCTGTTGCCCCCTGCTGGCAGTTATTCTAAATGATTTATGAAACTTTTTTAAAATATTGAACTCACTTAAACCTGCTGAAAGAACATGTTGCCTTAGTTCCTAGTTTCAACAGAGCCAAATTTATATATCAGATAAAGAATATTTGGAAGCATAATTAATCTGAAGAGTGTAATAACAGGTCAACGTGAGGCACGAGAAGTCAACTAGTGTTCTTAACATTTTTTGGTTACCTCTAAGGGCCTCCATGACATGAAGAATATTCTCCGACCACTGATAAGCAGCAATGGCTGTGTAGATCCCTGGAAAGTCTCTCTGCCAAATACGCTGGCCCACTGCCCATATAGCTGCTAATTCAGGATTTGCCTGCAGGAAACAAGTGAGAAGCATTTCAAACACAATCAGAATGCAACACTTGACCAGGTAGTGGCTTTAATGCTACTGTGAAGAACATTCACAGCCCAATATATATGTAACACTGTTGGATCACAATGGTTCCATCATCCTTAAATTGTCTTTTCTTGGACTTGGCAAGAAGTCATGACTTGATTGGCAGTACCATAATTCCATTTATTTCATAGTGCTCTCTTGGTTGTCTAAGCAGGTCCAAAAAGTTTTCCTGTGGGGCAAATTGATCTGCCAGGACTTAAGATCATTTTGCAATACAAGTGAAAATGCCAATTACATATGTTTTTAGTTACTTACATTTAAAGTTGAGCAATTTTTCTAGAAACATGGAACTGGTTGTGTCAGGGTGGTATGCCCTTAATATTAAATGTGATGCAGGCACCACAATGGCAAAAAGGTGATGAAAAACACAGACCATACATTTCTAACTTCTAATTTGAAGCTAGAATATAATTCCTTATTATCATATTGTTCTGAAAGCTCCATGAAAAGCCTCCAGTTGATCCAAAGCAAACAGGGACTAGAAAAAGAAATCTTTATTAGCCTCTCACCATTGGCTCCTTGTGCCATCCCTTTGTGATGCTATGATGGATCTGGCTGCTCAGTCATTAAAGGACTTCTCCAATCCATGAGTTTGTCTTTACTCATTAAATCAACCAGTCACATGACATTAACTTAGTGCATTCACACAAGACGAGACAAAGACAAAATGCTATTCAAATTGAGTATTCGAATGACGAAGAATGGTAATACAAGACACTTTGAATGGTTGGTGGTGTCAGATGGGCTGGTCTGAGTATTTAGGAAACTTCTGATCTGCTGGGATTTTTCATCTAGGATTTACACTGTATTTTCAGAAAAAAGGAAAAATCAAATGAGTGCCACTTCTTGTTGATGACAGAGTTTAGAGGAGAATGGCCAAACTGTTTCGAACTGATAGGAAGGCTAATCAAATGGGCTCCACAGTCATCATATCTTAAGCAAGTACAGCGTTTAGAGAGGTTTCAGGATAGGAGATTTATGTCAGAGATAAGCACCCAACAAATCTGCACCAACTGTGTGATGACATCATGTCAACATGGACCAAAACCTCTAAAACCAGCACCTCGTTGAATCTATGAATGCACAAAGAATTAAGGCAGCTCTGAGGGCAAAAGAGGGCTCATCCAGTACTAGCAAAGTGCACCTTACAAAGTGTCTAGTAACTGTGTACATGACAGTATGAGTAGGTTTGAAAAATTTAATAAAACCAACATTGGATTTTAAAGTAAACAGCATTTACTGTTCACATTTACATGCTCAAATGTTATTTTTTTTTAGCAATGTTTACACATGTTTTAACAAGCTTACCGATTTTATTGCTTGGGGAATCCTCTTCCACAGATACCTGCCATTATTCCTGTTAGGAAAACACACAACACATTCATAATATAGATACAGGCAGTAAAAAGGGTCTCATCAACTAAATCAGCTACCTGCAATCTGAGACCCAAATATAGATTTAAATGTATTTCTTTTTATAAATACATAGAGATCAGAGACTTACATGTCATTATTAAGTAAATAGAGCGCCAGCAGCTGAGCGTAGACCTGAGGTGTTGCAATGCCCCCTGGAGCCTGTTACAAAGAAATGCAGGTGTGCGATTAAACATTGGAACTAAAACAAGCGGAAAACTGAACAAATGTTACTTCTCAGAGAAAACGGGTTATTATTATTGTCTTATTATTGTCATAATAAAGAAAAAATAATAGTCGCTGATGTTCACCCAGCCAACAGCAAGCGTCCAGTTAATAGTTTTAGCTCCTGCTAACATTGCAGTACTAGTCTCGCTCATTTATTCTTATACTATAAACTGTCAGTCCGTAGGCTGCATGCAGATAGACAGACAGACTGTCAACACAGATAAGACTTAAAGGTTCTTAAATCAAACACATGACCTGCAGATATGTTCCAATTTAACGGAGAGATTATGATCGCTAACTTCCTACTATCTGCTGACAAGTAAAGGCAAAGGTAAAGCAAAGAGCAGTCCAACATGAACACGTTGCTACAGCCTATATCTCATTTTTAACATGAGAATGTTTCGCCTACGAGAAAACGTGTTTGATAAGTTAATTTCACAGAGCTTTAAGGTAGGCTACACACAGGCTAGGTTTCGTAGCCAGTAAGGTAGCCTAATATATCTAAAAACCGCAGCGTTCCCATCCTGCTTTCAAAGCCACAAAATCTCTGCGACCTTCCTGTTCATATTTAAGATCACAAAGTCCTTACCTCAAGCTCTTGGGCTTCACACTGCTCTAATAGTTTATCAAAATTTTCCTCCATAATCACAGCAGTAGGCATGATGATGCCTAGCTGTTGCACCGGAAACTTCTGCTTCTACTTCTTCTTCTTTGGTGTCTTCGCCGTATTATTACGAGTCCGACGTCGGGTGTGTGATCACCCGCGTCCTCTGCTGGCCAAAACGCAAACTACAGTGAATCCTGGGTTGTGCGAAATCCTCTAAATAAACCCTAGACAAAGTGAACTAAGGTGTAGGTTTATTAGGTTATGTTGTGGTGATCCTCGGGTTGAGGGATGGGTGTTCATACTAGAGTGTAAAATTAAAACCAATGGAAGATGGACAAGAAAAGTTCAAAGCCATCATGTCTTCAGCTTAGAAAAAAGAGAAAGGAAGAGGAGGAGAAACGAGCACAAGATACAGGTAAGCAGATGTGTCATTGGATAATGGCAGGTCATGTATTCTGAAACAATCAGAATCAGAATACTTTATTAATCCCTAAGGAAATGATGTGGGTTACATGCTCCAAGAAGAAATGGTAAAAATAGTAACAGTAACAGACTAAACTCCAAACAATACATTATGTTACAGGTTTTAATATTAATTAATCATTGTCAATTGTTGATTTGTTCTGTTCTCATTGTATGATGAATTATGATGGCTGTTTGGTGGCTGTTTGCATACTAGGCGCACTCTCTCTCTCTCTTCATATGTCTGTGTGTGTGTGTGTTTCTCTGGTGAAATTCAGCATGGCTCCAACAACAGTTTTATGTTTATGTACAATCCTTAATATGTTTTATGTGTATGTCTGTCTGTGTGTGTGTGTGTTTGGGGGGGGCAGAGGGAGTGTTTGCCCAGGGAGCCACACAGGCTAGGACCGCCACTGGGTATGTGAATCATATGCTATGGCCTCATTTTTATTTTTATTTTCAAAATGGAGATCTTGGACTCTGCTGGACTCAGAGCTGTGGCATTCTGAAAAAAAGATTACTAAAAATTAAGTACTTGCCATTGGTGACAAGGAAAAACTTGTCAGTTCAACAAATTTCACCC